ACGAAAACGATGTTACTACTCTGAGTGAAATTAACATCTAACTGTTTAGAACATAACATTATACAATATGCCATTTGATACCTGAAAACCTTGACTTTCTGTTGGTTATAGGTAATATATAATGAAAGGTGAGAGAGAACTATCAATAATTGTGAAAGAGGGTGTGGCAGGAGGGGAGCTATCGAATAGAAAATCAGAATGTAACCAAACAAAATTGAAGACTATATAAATTATGGTTTGTCTGAGCAATCACGATTTTTTAGAGAGTAATTTACATTTAATTTCGTACTTTTTCAAGGAGTGGTGGATAAAATAGAGATGATGGCATGCTAAGAGAAAATGTGTCACATGGGTCACACTAGTGGAAATTCAGGATTTTCTTTTCATATTACCTTGTAGAATTAAGAATGTAAAACTTGTTTACTATTAAAATATGGATTATTAGCTGAGATTTGATGCTATTCTAATTGGTATAATGCAAACAAAAAGTAGTTTGAAAGAGAATGTAAGACTAAAACTTTATTAACATAAGTTTGTTGTGAATTAAGGTAAGGTATTTCTCCTAACTTAGCTCCTCATGTATGTGTGCGTGTGTGTTAGAATTGTAAGAAGTTCTAATTTTTCACCGAATACTTTAGACAGATCACAAGTAGAAAAGTTTTGTAATGATTTCTTTAGTTGTTTCAAAGATTGTAATTTATTGTGAGGTAGAGAAGTTTTGTAATGATTTCTTTACTTAGTTCAAGGATCATATAATTTGTTGTGTGTTAACATTTAATTTTGCTTTTAAATCTAATGGCCTCCACTAACTTTCAAGGGCTGTAACATGTTCTTTTTTTTTATAGAGTTTACCAACTTTTTCATCCTGTGTTTTTAACTATCATGAACACAATCACATATTCTTCAGTTTCTAAGATTTTGTTTTTTGCTGAACTATATACATGCATATATACATTTAAAGAAAGAAAGTATCTGAATAGTATCTTACTACCTCGGTGATTGTAATTTCCAAAATAATACAACCTCCTTTCACCCAAAGCTATCTTGACCTTGATTTGCCCTCTATGTATTGCTTAAAATTTCCAACAGTGCACCAGTCTTCTATACCCTGTCATTTTTGTGCCATTGTGCTGATCATGTGACAACCATCCACAAGTCATACTGCAACACCTATACTAGCACAGGTAGCTCCCTCTACCATTCCAGCACAATCCTCACTTTCTTGATTGGCATTCTAATGTATAGACGTGTGTTTTAACTCATTCTCCATGTGACTCCAAAATTTTGATTGTGCTTGATCACATATTTATATCAGTTTCAACTTCGAGTTTTGAATTCTTGTGTTTGATTTCTACTGTGATTGTTTCTACTCGTTTGTTTTTGAAACGTTT